TCCTTAATGAAAGCCTCCAAGGGACCCTTGTGGGCGTTCCTTCAGTTCAGCCGGGCGAGCGCTCAGTTGTCATGGCATCCAACCACACCTCACCTTGTGTGAGGAGTTAATAGTTCAGGAGGCCAGGTTCTTAACCCAGGATCCCCTTCCAAAGGCCAGATGTTCCTTTTATCTTGGGAACATCTCCCACATTCAGTGCCAAGACTTTCCTGTTTTCTCCCCTCTGGATTTTAAATAAAGGAATGCGGTGTGGGAACTTCCCACCTGCTATGGAGGTGTTAGAAGCTGCCAGTTGCCTTTGATGGGCTCCCTATGGTCACAGGCTGTGTTGAAGCTAAAGACCTGGTTCATGGTTGCGTGTGGAAGGGATATGTGGTGACCGGAACTGAAAGAGGCCCCCTAGTTCCCATAGATTTTCTTCTCAGTATATTTTCCAGAACCACCTGCCAGTTGCTGTAGCAACTTGGGCCGTCTCTCCCTCTTCTACCAATTTGCTGCTGGTGTTAGTATCAGAAAACCTTGAACCATAGGTGTTGAATGTGGGGAGGGAAGCAGCCTTAGTGTGTTTTGCGCACACCTTCGTATCTTGAGGGATAAGTCCAGGTTGGCACAGGAGGCAGCTGTGTTGTGAAAAGAGATCAGCCACCAATATGATGAGAGCAATTCATATTGTGCTTCTTCTCAAAAGCAGCTGTTTGATGACACAAGGCTTCTAGTTCTTTAAGGGCCTGGCCTGGAGGAAGGGGCCTGCCTTCTTTTCCCCTTCGGTGTAGCTACACTGTGATGCAAAAAGAAGAGGTGGGGAAGACTCAAGAAATTAAAAGAAAACATTAGTGTTTGTCTATTTACAAATACACTTTCGCATAGCTGTTGGAAGAGTCATTTCTTCCTTTTTGCTCCCAGAAAGAATCCTGGAAAATTAATAAACTGAGTAGCTGGAAATTGGGTGGCATATAAATTTAACAAATTATATAATTAATTATATGACCCGTTAGGATAGATAAAATCAGGTTACAACTTACCACACCTGGGAACTGCTGATCAGGCAGACGGAATCGGGGCTCATCATCTTGTGGAGCTAGCGGAGCAGAGCTTAGCTGGAAGGTGGAGCCATTGAGTCAGGGTGCCAACTTCCGCTAAATCCAGAGTCTAAACCAGAAACCAGGGTGTAAAATAACAGGCTTATGGGATGACTACGTTTGCCAGTGGTCTCCTCCCCCAGCATCAGAAGAAGTGTCCTGAGGGTCAATGAATGGGGGGACAGTGGGGGGCCACCTGATCGCCTCTTCCCCTTGAAGTTCTGCAGAAAGATTCCAACAAAAACAGGCACCCAGATATGCTTGCAACAGCTACAGACTGTAGCAGGACCTTGATTTCCACCTCAAGCTGGTTGCTGGGCTTTGGCTCAGCATGCTGGGGGAAGCCAGGCCTTGTGGTTTGGAGCTGTGTCGGAAGCCAGCCAGTCTGCGGGAGAGAGAGGCACCGAATGGCGGCCCTTTCCACATGCACAGCCCCTTGGATGCTCCAGAATGGCCAGGAGCTGTTCCTTCGTGCTGGGTGGAGGCCACCCAAGCAAAAGCCTCGCTGTCCTTGGAAAGAGGAGTTGGGTTTTGCAAAAGCATCAGCAACCTGGCCTTGTTTTTATGGCTGATTTGGTGAGGACAGGGATGTTGGGGGCAGAAATCTGCCAGGGCGCAATTTCTGCAGAGATGCCAGGCTTGGGGAAAACGGGGTATGGGGTGGGAGTGCTCTTGCAGACGAGGTCTACATTCAGGTTACTGCAGGTGGGCTGCGGTGTCTTCCCTGCTCTTAGTTCCCCCCCAAAGAATGTCTCTGGCCGGTCCAGGCTTCTCTTGAGTCCTGCTGAGTGGCTGCAGCATGGAGGACCAATGGCTGTTCAAGCCCACAGAGGGATCGTATGTTATGGGGTGGGGTCATCTTTCTGAATCTCCCGAGGATGCTGCCCAGTGACCTGCCCAATGCCTGCCGTTTGTGCAGAACCCTCCTCCGACAAGGTAACTCTTCTAATGGGCCAAGGGAAAGCGGTGGACAGCACCCGCCTGGATTTCAGCCAAAGGTTTGGCAAGGCTCTCTCTGACGTCCTTGTTGAGGTGATCTTGAAGTTTGGTTTGGGCGGCCCTAGAATAAGGTAGGTCCACAGCTGCATGTGGACTGGCTGCACTCGGGGGCGGGGGGGGGTTCCATTAGGCTTAGTATTAAGGCAGGGATCAGTCTTGGCAATCTGATATTTGCCAAGTTTGGAGGCCTCTGCTCTAGAGAGCACATAAACCCCTACACACACACACACACACACACACACACCCCTGTTTCCTTCTCCTCGGCAGCTCCCCCACAGGCCTCTCTTCCTTCATTCTCTCCCTTTCCAGTAAATTGGGGGGGTGGGGGGGGCTTGCAAGAGACAGACAATTGGTCCCAGGCTTACTAGCGGGAAGTGGGCTGAGGGATTGCCGACTCTCTCTGCTCCTTCGTTGGTCCCTTCATGCAGGCTTAGAGCAGGCTCAGGAATTCCCAGATGTTCTGATTCTGGGTACCTTCAACCTCTGGCTACCATTCAGCCTCTGCAGCTGTTTCTGGGTCCCCTGGCCTGTTATGCCTGTTCTCAATGCCGATTGTGTGGCTGGTAAACAATTATTTTCCACAGGCACATCTGGAGCAGAGGGGGAGCAGAAGTGCCAGGCAGGCCAAGGAAAGAGCGAGCAGCTTCTCGTGTGCCAGGCCTCCAGGTGGGGCAGGAAGGGCCTCCCTGCCATGGCATGCAGCCTTCCTGCAAAGTTGCCCGGGCAGGTGCCCACCAGTGGCATCCAACAGATCTGCTGCTTTCACCCAAGCACAACACCTCCCCCTTTGAGATACCTGTCCCTGAGGTGACGTTGCCTGTCATCAGTCTTTGATGCATCCAGCGTCCTCAGCCAGGCCAGTGGGCAGCTTGCATTCTGCTACCCCCCCCCCCCCCAGAATGGCAGCTGAAGAGTTGGCAGAGACCGGAGAGTGTGCTTGGGAGGGATTGAAGCCATTCTCTGCATTAATGCTTTTAGTCTTGAATATGGATTGGGAGATCAGAAAGAGGCTTACCAGATGCTTCATCTGTGCAAAGTGGAACGGAGGCGGTCCTTTCCTTCCCATTCAGTGGGACCAATTCAGCCCAAGGAGTTCGGGTTTCATCCCCTTGAAAATATCCTCGCCAGGAGGCTGGAAGGTCCCGACTGCAACATTGAGATTTGCACCACTCCAAACCCCCCATTTTTGGCAGCCCCTCCCCCCCTTTGGGACCCCTTCTGCCTACCCCCCCCCCCAAATAATGACTGGGCTGCCCAAGCAGAGATGGTGATGCAGGCAGGAGAACCCACTGGACGGGCAGGAGATGTGGAGGGAGGCTGGAGACGTACAAATTCTGGCAGGCTCCAAAATTGGAACAGCCCTGACAAAAACATCGCTTCCTCTCCAAGGATTTCACTTTTAAAAGCAGCATTTGCTGAACCCAGGAAGGGAGAAGAGGCATTTCCTGCTGCTGGCGCAAAGCGAAAACCCAGACTGGAAATGTTGCTTATTTCCCATCACAGCAATTGGAAGTCCAGAGCTCCCTCATGGGGGTGGGGGGGCGGGGGGGGGCATTCCTAATCTCCACCCAGACCCAGGCAGCCCCCACGGAGGGTTGGGTGAGGGGGCCAAGCCCCTCCCTGCCCCAGCCCTCCCAGTGTGACGGGGCCTCCAAGGGGGCTGAACCTTGATGGGGGATGGGTATCGGGGCAGGATCCCCTGTTGGGACCCCCATATCTCCCCCTGCCCCCCACAGCCAGTTGCAGCAGAATCTGCAGGGGGAGGCGTTCGGGCCGGGTGCCCTGTTTCCTGCCAATTCTCTGAATTCCCAAGCCTCTTTTACTTTGGGCCGGGGGGCACGAGACCAAATCCCTCCCCACAATGCCGTAAAGGGCAGCCTTTCTTTACCACAATGGGCAGCGGAGGAGACACTCCTTGGCCACCCATCCTCTGGCTGCCCCAGCTTGGAAGAACGGAGCCCAGCTTGTGGGGGGGAGGGGAGCCTCTCTTTAAGGACACCCATCTTCCTTCCTGCCCCTCCCCCAATGCCGAGGTCCATTTCAGAGCCTGCCACTCAAGCCGTTGAGGAGCTGCCTTCCGGCCAGGGGCTGCCAGGGAGGGAGCCCAGCAAGGCCAGACAGCCTCTGGCAAGGCTCTGCTGTGGGGTGGGGGCTCCACGCAGGAGCCCTTCCTGTGGCCCCGAGCAGGTGTGCCTCTTTGGGACGTCGTGTTCCACCTCTGAGCATGTCCAAACTGAACGGCTGTCTCCCCAGATTGGGGATATTGTCTGGCAAGAGCCCCTGCTCCCCTCCCCTGGCCTGGGCTTTTGGCTCAGAGCCAGTTCGCCCCCCCCATCTCCCCCCAGGTTCCCTGAAGTGGCTGGGAAGTTCCCCTTCAAACCCCACAACCATTAATTATTGACAAGGCGTGGGAAGGTGAGATAAAAGCCAGGCATTGCTCCTCGCCTGCGAGATAGTAAATACACTTAATTATGGGACAAGCGCTGAGGGATCCCTGCCTGTATTAAGTTTATTAGCAGAGACATTTAAAAGCGTGTCATCATAACAAAAAGGTCTCGTGTAATCCTAAATGTTCCACTTTGATACAAGACTCCGAAGTGAATAGACTTTAATTGAGCAGATGGCTGCTGCTCAGGCTGGGATGGGCGGCTTTTATGGCCAATTAACTTCTGCCTGCCGATCTCCTCAGCAAAGGGCGGCCTACGGCCGAGGGCTCCAGCCATGGCCACTTTAAGACTGGTGGACTTCAAACAGCAAAGCTGGCTGAGGAATTCTGGGAGTTGAAGTCCACCAGCCTTAAAGTGGCCAAGGCTGGAGACCTCTGGCCTAATGGCTCCCGGCCCCCCACTTCCGCACCCGCCCAGCCTGGAGTCAAGCAGGTGGACATGGACCTGATGTCTCTCCCACTCTCTTGCCTTACAGGGAGCTGATGCCACGCACCCTGGAAGGCCAGCTCACCATGGAGAAAACACCCAGCTACTTTGTGACCGGCGAGGCGGCCGGGCGCATCCACGCCATGGCCAAGGACACCAAGCTGATCGTGGTGGTTCGGGACCCAGTGACACGGGCGATCTCCGACTACACGCAGACGCTCTCCAAGAAGCCCGAGATCCCCACCTTTGAGGTGCTGGCCTTCAAGAACCGGACTCTGGGGCTGATCGACGCCTCCTGGAGCGCCCTCCGCATCGGCCTCTATGCGCTGCACCTGGAGAGCTGGCTCCAGTACTTCCCGCTGGCCCAGATGCACTTTGTCAGCGGCGAGCGGCTCATCTCGGACCCCGCGGGGGAGCTGGCCAAGGTGCAGGCCTTCCTGGGCCTGCGGAGGGTGGTGACCGAGAAGTACTTCCATTTCAACCAGACCAAGGGCTTCCCTTGCCTCAAGAAGCCAGAGGAGAGTGGCGCGCCCCGGTGCCTTGGCAAGTCCAAGGGCCGGACTCACCCGGTCATCGACCAAGACGTCATTCAGAGGCTGCGCAAGTTTTATAAGCCCTTTAATGTCATGTTTTACCAAATGACAGGCCAGGATTTCCAGTGGGAGGAGCAGCAGGCTGGGATGTGATGCAGCCGTGGCAAACGAAGCGGGTTTTTCTCCAGAGGTAAATGGCTTTCCTGCAGGGAGGAAATCTCTTTGCAGCTGGGGGGGGCACCCTCTCACCCTGGGAAGCAGGCAATGGCAAACCGCTTCCGAAAAGCCTTGCCAGGGACTTGTCCAAGTAGCCTTTGAGAATCGGATGTGGTTTAATGGAACGGGGGGAGGGGTATTACAGATGTATTTATTTATTTATTTGATTTCTCAATCGCTTACAAGATACAGGTATAAGAATAAATATAGTTTTGAATACATGAGATAGATGCATATAAGACAAAAAGCCAATAGGACAGGGACGGTAGGCACGATTGGTGCTTTGACAATCAAGGGGTCTCCGAGCAGAAATGTGGGTGATGCTGCTCTCAGATGGAGAGGCCCTACAGGCCTCTTAGGAAGGGAGTGAGGTCAATAGGAGACAGTCTAAGGTTAAAGTTTTTGGGGTTTGGGGAAGAAACCACAGAGTCAGGGAGAGGATTCCAGACATTGACCACTCTGTTGCTGAAGTCGTATTTTCTGCAGTCAAGTTTGGTGCGGTTAACCTTGAGTTTGTATCTATTGTGTGCTTTTGTGTTGCTATGGTTGAAGCTGAAGTATTCATTTGCAGGTAGGACATTGCAATGTATAATTTTATATGCTATATTTAGATCGGACCGGAGGTGGCGTAGCTCTAGGTTTTCTAGGTCTAGAGTTTCAAGTCTGGTGGCATAAGGTATTCTGCAATGAGTAGAGGAGCAGAGAACTCTTCTTGTGAAATATTTCTGGACTTTTTCAATTGTGTTAATATCAGACACAGGATATGGGTTCCAGACTGATGAGCTGTATTCAAGTATTGGTCTAGCAAATATTTTGTATGTTCTAGTTAGTAATGTGATATTACCAGAGAAGAAGCTACGCAGGATTAAATTATCAACTCTTAATGCCTTTTTGGCAATGTAGTTACAGTGGGCTCTAGCACTTAGATCATTTGAGATGAGTATTCCAAGGTCCTTGACAAAGTTTGGATCCTCAACAAGGTCTTGACTACTTAGCTTGTATTTTATTTTCTGATTTTTTTCTGCCAATATGTAAGACAGAGCATTTATTTGTTGAGATTTGAAGTTGCCATTTGATTGACCATTCTGATACATTTTTGCAGGGAAGTAGTATTGTCTGTGGTGTTGAATAGCTTTACATCATCAGCAAAGAGAACGCAGTTGCTCTTAATATGATCACAGAGGTCATTTATTTAGCGTATAAAGAGAGTTGGTCCTAAAACACTGCCTTGGGGGACACCACTGTTGACAGGTACAGAATTTGATAGGACGCTCCCAATTTTGACCATTTGTTGTCTGTTTGACAGGAATGCTTCTATCCAGTTATGTAGGTGTCCAGAGAAACCATAAGATTTTAGTTTTAGGAGTAGTTTGTCGTGTACCACTGAATCAAAGGCTTTATAGAAGTCTATGTAGATTGCGTCTATTGCTTTGCCCTGTTCGAGTTGTGTAGTCCATATGTTTTTGCAGTGTTCAGAGTTGCAGATTACAGGATAGTTTTTTTTCTGAAATCAAATTGTTTATTAGGGGGTAGGTTGTTTTTCTCTGTGGAGGATAATGGATTGGTTAATAATTGATTCCATGACTTTACAGGTGACGCAGCATAAGGAGATTGATCTGTAATTTGTCTGGGGTCTCCCTTTTTGAAGATGGGGATGACTGTGGCTTGTGACCATAGGTTAGGCAAGGAGCTGGTCCTGAAAGATTTTTCAAAGATTAAGCTTAGAGGTTCGGCTATGGCAGTGGATAACTTTTTTAATAAGTAGGCACATATTCCATCCGGTCCAATAGATAGGGATGGTTTTAGATTGTGCAGTGCTTTTTCAACAGTGTCTTCTGTAAATTCGGTATGTATTAGATCATTGTAGTTGTCTGTGGTTCGACTAGGAAGTACTGGGCTTGATCCATTGCTGTTTACAAATACTGAGCCAAAGAATGTGTTAAAGAGGTTGGCTTTAACGGTGTCCTTGCAATCTTTGCCATTAGGTCCTTTCAGGGGTGGGATGGACCTTGAGTCTTTTAGTTTGTTGTTTACAAAATTGTAGAAAGCGCAGGTGGAATTGGTGCACAGAAGATTTTCCTCTTATTTAATGTGATAATTAGTGCATTCAGTTCTTATCTGGAAGCATAGATTTTTGTATCGGCTTTTGAAGTTGGCAACGTTACCAGTTTTGTTTTTTTGCCAAAGTGATCTCTTTTTGGATTGAAGCTTCCTTATTGTTATGGTTAATCTGTTTTTCCTGGTTTTGGAAATTGTTATTGGTACATATAGTTTGATGGCTCTTTTGATTTCTAGTAAGAATATGTTGTAATGTCTTCAACAGTATTGCATCCAGTGAATAGAAATTGCCAATCAAGGAAAGAGAGAGATCATTGATTATAGCTGCCTTTTTTAAAGTTATAATTGGGGATTTTGTCATTGTGATGATTTTTGTGTGGATGTATGTTGAAACAAAAGTCAATCATGTTGTGGTCATTGTTGGAAAAGGGTTCTTTAATTTGTATTCCGTAAATTGAATTCAAACTATTGCAGAAGATGAGATCGAGGCAGTTGTTAAGTCTAGTATTGTTGGTTACTAATTGTTCCAGTCCCAGATTTGTTACAGCATTGTAGAAGGTTGCATGTATGGGTTCAGTTGTACATTCGTTTAGGGTCCAGTTAATATGAGGTAGATTAAAGATCAAACTAATGCAGTAAAGTAAGATATAAAAAAGTAAGATATAAAGTAGGAAAAGGAAAAGAAATCAAAGAGAAAACTAAAAGTGCAAGAAAAGGGGGGATTAAAACGTAGAAAAGAAAGAAAAAAGACTCTAGCATCTCATGGCTTCCAATCTTCTTTACAGCATATAAGCACAATTATAAATTTATCCCTTACTACAGGTTACAACATAACTCTCTTCTTTCTATGTCAAATCACCAAATCCATAAATTGTAAATTTGTTCTGTTTTGTGCAAAAAGTCCATAAGGGGCTGCCCATCAGCAGTAAACGTAGTTTTTTCTTTGATCAAAGAAGTCAATTTAGCCACCTCACTCACGGAGTTCCATCATCTTCACCAACTATTCCTCCAGTGAGGATAAGGCCGAATCTTTCCATCTTTGTGCATACGATAATCTCACTGCAACTACCATGACTTCCCCCCAAAAAAACTGTTTGTCTACAATCCCACAAGAAAAATCTCTTGTTTCAATTGTTTGTAATCTTTAAGATCCTGTATACAAGTATTTGAATCCAGTATTTTCTAGCTTTTTATACTTCCACCAAACATGGTAAAATGTCCCCTTTTGTTCACATTTCCAATGAATACATTTGAAGTGCCTCTGTGTATTCTAAACATTTTTTCTGAGGACAATACCAATCATTTTATAAAAATTCTTAAAATTCTAACATAGTGTAGTTCTCTTTTCTCTTGTGGAGGAAAAGCAACTATAAATTTTAACAAACAAAAAGTGAAGTGTGTGCTAGAGCTGACTTTCACCTATGATTAAGTTCTGACTTCATCTATTAAAAGAGAACGATGTTGTCATGCAATCCATTTTGCAAGGATTTAAAGTGTTCAGGTAGATGGCTTCATAAAAAAAAAAGAGAGAAAAGAAACCATTGGTTATGGTCTGAGTGGGCTATGCCCCTTGCGTCCTCCTCCCCACCCCCAGGCTCCCACTGGGGCAGCTTCACACCTTGGAGGATTTGGAGAAGGCCCCTGCATCCCGCCACACTGGGCCTCCAGATTCCTCCCTCGTGCTCAGGAGAGATTGACCCCGCTCCTTGCTTGCTGGCCTGGCCTGTGTGCTCCGCCAGGAACCTCAGCCTGGCCTAAGAACAAGGTGATCAAGGCCACCTGGTTGATTCAATATCAGCTGGTGTGGTTGATGAATGAGGTTCCAGCTCTCAGCCTGGGGCACACGGGCCCCTCTCATCTGCCCACCCCCAAGAGAGAAGCCACAGCCCGCCTCTCTTTCTTTCTTACCCCTGACAAAATGGCGCAAACAGGCAACGTCCCTCGTGAGAAACAGCCGATGGGGCCTTTGACCAAACCGCATGACGCTCACGAGGAGCCCCGAGAGATTTCGTCTTCTGCCAGATGGGCAGTGGGTTGTCCCAAGCGGGGGCTCCAACTCCTTGGCGGGGGGGGGGCGTCATTCTCTGAATGGGGTGCTGCTGGTCAAGTAACAAGGTGGTGCTTCTTCTTCTCCTCCCTACAGATCCCCCTGCAGTGACCAGAGCCTGACTTGACTTCCGAGGGCCAACTGCCCCCTGACCCCAGCATTGGGGATGAGGGCTCAGCGGACTGAAGAGGCAGCCAAAGCTTTGGGGGGGGTCTCTTTGGCCCCTGATTCCTCCCACTTTCTGAGACCAGGAAGGCGCCCCGAGAGCCCCCAGCCCTGCCTTGGAGACCCCTCTACTGTCCCGAGAGAAGAGGGGGGAGCTGGGCATCCTTGCCCCCCAGCTGGGGAAGAAGAGCCATTTCACACGTCCTGCATCCTGTGCTGTGTCTTCTTCAGATGTTTAGTTTTGCTACGGCAGACGGAGGAGACCACCCTGTTCTCAGGGAGCCCGTTCTGGGAAGCGGCATCCCGGTGGGGAGGCTGCCCGGGTGCGGAATGCTTGGTGTGGCCCTTTCCAAGGGAGGAGGGGGCCAGTTCCGCTGTACGGAGGGCTGCCGGTTGGTTTCCTGTTTTCTGGACGGCTGGTGCGTTTCCTCTGCCAGCCTTGCCTTTTGCCATGCGAGGAGGAGACCGTCTGTCTTCTGAGGAAGCCACCAGCTCAGGAAACGTTCCCTTTTTCCCTTTCTTTCTTTCGTTCTTTCTTTCTTTTTTTTCTGTTTTGTCTTCCCTGTTTAAATGTCAGCCTCCCTGGCACAGAGAGATTGAATTTTGTATTTGATTTCAATTAGCAAGGCATAAATTATCCTTAATTTTCTGCTCCCAGGGACGGGATGAGTCATTGTCCCAGAAAACTGGCAATGTTATAGTTCAGCCGTTGACAATGGAAGGATTCGTTGCCTGGAAGGGAAATTGCCCCCCTGCCGCCGCCGCCGCCGCCTCCTTGCCCCCATCCCCTGAGTCTCCACCATCTACCTGAACAAGGCAGACATGCCAAGTCTCCACCTGGAGCTCATCTCACCCCACAATAAAATCTTGCAACAGCAGCTTCTCCTCTCGGCTGCATTTATCAGCTCTCAGGGGTGGGGGGTGGGGGGGGCCAGCTGCCTTTGGCAAAGGGGGGATGTCATATGGGGGGAGGTGGGGTACCAACGCTGAGAATATATTACTCCCTTTTGGCTCTAGAAGAGTGAATTAAATGCAGGGAAAAAGCACAAAAACCTCTTAATGCTCGTTTCATTTTCATCAGAGCCGCTTCTCTCTGGACAACGAGAGGTCTTCGCACCGAACAGACCTCGCTGATTCTCACTGACCCAACTGTGGGGGGAGGGGGGGGCGCAGTGTGGCCTCCCGCTGCTGCCAAACCACAATGGCAGTCAGCATAGGCCACAGAGGAGGATGCTGGGAGTTGTAGTTTAGCAACATCCTTAATCCTGGCACGCCTCCTTTTATTACACCCCCATCACCCTCTTTCCTTTGGAAATAAGCAGCACTGTGCAAAATGCAGAGAGCGGGAAAGCCGAGCTACGGTGGGAGAATCCACCACAGCTAGAGCTCCTTGGCACCCCTGCCGTGCCTCTCCCTTCTGTCTTGCCCTTGGCTGGCTATTCTCCCTTGACCACTTTCTTGGATACGGGAGCCCAACTAGGACCGCTGCTAGCCATGGTGTGCCCTGGTGTGTGAATGGAGCCTCCCTTCTGCCCCAGGGGCTCTGCACCAAACAGCGTTAGGCGGTTGTTGAGGCTGGGCCTTCAAACTTTGATACCTTGGTTCAAATGGTCGTCTCTTCACTCATTCATCCTAGATTTGCTCTGGGATTTCCTCCTCATCCAGCCCTCTTTACCTCACCAAACCGACTCAACCATTTATGTTTCTCCTGACACGTCCAACTCTTTGTTCCGTATAACACAGTGGGCAAACTCCTATCCTCATAAGAGACCATCGACCAGCCATAATACTGGTATCAAAGCTTGTATGCCTTAAAACGCCTCCCTCCATCCTTCCATCGTTAGATCTCATGTTCATCTAATTGCTCTGTTTTTCCCCTCTATATATAACTTGCAATCATCAATTCCATTTTCCTTGTCAAACCCAATTTCCTGTCCTTTATACATGAATAATCCCTCTGTCATCATTCTACTTCATCTTTCTTTTGACGCATTAGAGACCGAGTCATTATTTTAGATTCCTGGGCTATCTTCAGAGCTGTCCTGGGAGCCCAGTCAAGAGACGACCATTCGAACCGAGATGCAAAATTTGAAGGCCAACCTCAACAACCAGCTGTCACTGCTTGGTGGCAGAGTCCCTGGGGCAGAAGGGAGGCTCTTAAGTGCTGGCATCTGCTGAGGGCTATTAAGGAAAGTCGGGGTTGCTTCCTGCCTCTAAAAACATGTTTCTCCATTTCTCCCTTTGGGGAAATATAAATATTCCTCAAAATATTTCATTCTTCTAGAAGCGGGTAGGCTCTGACTTTGTACACTGTGGAGATGGGAGAAGTCCTCATGCTCTGGTTTTCCTGCCGCCCTGCAAGGGGGACCCTCCAGTCTCCTCCTCACCTTGCACCATTTCCATGGCCATGTAGCCGAACTCTTCAGGTCCAGTCCTTCCCAGCCCTGGCCTGGGCTCAGTCTCCCTCAGGACTCCCTATTTTCTTTCTATTTTGGCACCCATATCCTTGCTCAGCTTCACTAACTCCTAACTCCTCCGCTGGCAGCTTTCTTGGTGCTTGAGCCCCTCGAGGGGAGTTATGGGCCAGCTTCGGGATCTGACTTCCCGTATTTGGAGTCACGCCGGAAGTCAGCCTTGGAATCTCGCTGGTCCAGGAGAAAGACACTCCCAGGTGCTCAGAAACTAGTCAGGATAGATCAAAGGCTCCCTGCGAAGCCGACAAGGGCCTTCCTTTTGCTGCCTAATGCAGGCAGAACCTCTTCCATCTATTCTCTCCGTCTCTGGTGTGTTTCCACGCTGTCATGCCTAATCCCTATCTTGCAGGTTGGGGGAAATTATTTTACCATCTCATATAATTGTGCCACTGGAAAAAAGCAACTGGATTTTTTTTAATCAACAAAATGAAGAAGTAGTGAACTATAAAATTGCTAATTATTTTCTAGTAAATTTACTTTTGAATAACTTGAGACACCAATTACAGGGACCATTAAGCACCATTAGTGGTGGGTGTGCCAAGGCTGGACTCCACTCGCAGCAGGCAAAGCGAGTGGAAGCTCTGGCTTCCTGCTCAGAGGCGGGCACCGACTGCCTGCCCTCTTGCGTGTCTCTCCCGCCCTTCGCCAGAAACTTAAAAAGTCATCAAATGTTTAATTATGTATTAAATTAGAATAGAGGGGTTTTCAGAAAAAGAAGCCTGATATTGCTGTACTGGGATTCCAGCATCCCCTGAGGAAAAAAGCCTGTTCCACTTCACTCAGCACCTTGTTTACAGCTGTGCCAGAGGATCCTGGCATGAAAGGGAAGGGGGAAATTCACACCTTCCCTTTGGGTACCCTTTGGAGAAGCCAAGGGTCCCATCCAGCAGCCCTCCCGGCTGGCTGGCAGCCTCCTCTTCCACTGCCAGCCCTGGCAGAATTTCCTCCTCCTGCAATCTGGTCGGTACACCCCAAAAGGTGATGATATGGGTGTGTGTGTTCAAGGCTTGTGGCCATGCGCACACCTCTCCGGGCTGGCAAAAGGTGCTCAGGACTGACGTGCCCTCCACACTGAAAGGATGGCATCTGCTCCTACTGCAATGACTTGTCTTGCTGCTGACATCTCTCCCCCCCCCCCACTTAGGGCATCAAGGGGCCCCTACTTCTCTTTCCACCCTGAGAGGGCTGGAGGGCCGTGTTTCCAAACATTGAGCCCCATGTTGGTTACTGATCTACATTCAGACCAATCCATGGTTTCATGCATTGGAAAAAAGCAGTTGCTTTCAAGGGGCCCAAGGCAACACTCCTGATCCACGGCACCTTCTGGGAAATGGGGTTGGAAGAGCCCTGGCTCCTGTCCCTCAGGACAGAAGGCCAGTGAACAAGGCCTTGCCCAATCCTTGTCTTGGCAGTGCAGTTGGGACCCGATTCCCTTGTGGGGCGGCTTTCACCTCCCAAGTGCAACTTAGGGCGGGGGGGGGGCACAAAAATGAAGGGCCAACATACCAGCCTCAAAAATCATACTCTGTGGGCTCCTGAGGGGTTTCTTCTTCCCCATCAAACTTGAATGGGGTAGCCCCAAGTTCAGGCTTGGACTCTACTTAAAAAAGAAATAATTGACTGAGGTGAAGGAAATGCTTATTAAATTTGCAGACAACGCAGAAACGGACAAGGTAGTGAATACCTAAAAAGACAGAAATAAATTTCAAAATACCTTGGTTGAGGCAAAAAAGGCGGGGTTGAAAATAAGAGCTTGAAATTTGACAGATAAATCTAATTTGCTGCTTAGGGGAAATATATCAAGTACACAGGGTAATACTGGATCTTGGACTCGTAGCTGAATATAAATTAAAGGTAGAAGTTACATATTCTTCAAAAGATTGTACGACAAGCTGGATGTAGCTTAAGTTGATCCTAGCCTTCTTCTGGATAAAATAGAACAATATAACATGAATGGATTCACAGCTGGTGGAACAAGTGTGTTCAATGTGTGTTCTTAAAGTTCTGGGTCTACTGAGAGGCATTCAGTGGGACATCCCAAAGTTTAGTCCTGGGCTTTTCAGTGATGCAGACAAGTGCAAGGAAAGGTGGCTCATCATTTGTGCTGACACACAAAACTAGGGCAGGGACTGCTAGCACTTCGGAAGACTGGCTCAATGTGCGAAAGAATCCTAGTATATCTAATATTGGAGCCTCTCCAGCAATATACACTGCTCACAAAAATAAAGGGAACACTTGAACAACACAATGTAACTCCAAGTCAATCACACTTCTGTGAAATCAAACTGTCCACTTAGGTAGCAACACTGATTGACAATCAATTTCACATGCTGTTGTGCAAATGGAATAGACAACAGGTGGAAAGCAGAGGCAGTTAGCAAGACATCCCCAATAAAGGAGTGGTTCTGCAGGCGGTGACCACAGACCACTTCTCAGTTCCTATGCTTTCTGGCTGATGGTTGGGTCACTTTTGAATGCTGGCGGTGCTTTCACTCTAGTGGTAGCATGAGACGGAGTCTACAACCCGCACAAGTGGCTCAGGTAGTGCAGCTCATCCAGGACGGCACATCAATGCGAGCTGTGTCGAGAAGGTTTGCTGTGTCTGTCAGTGTAGTGTCCAGAGCATGAAGGTACTACCAGGAGACAGGCCACTACATCAGGAGACATGGAGGAGGCCATAGGAGGGCAACAACCCAGCATCAGGACCACTACCTCTGCCTTTGTGAAAGGAGGGACAGGAGGAGC